CAGATTTGGACATATTGAAGCATATTGCACAAACTAAGGGAATAATGTAATTCACTGGGCAGGGAGCTATTGAAGAAAGGGGCAATGATACAATAGATGCTGAATTAGGTGATGATACCAAGGAGGGCCATATCCCAATTGATGAGGGAGAAAAGCTTCAAGTTGAGGCCATGATGGAGACTCCGTTATAATTTACATTTGTGTCCAAGATGGTCCTAAGTCCCAGTAATCGACATCACACACCCGACAACCCCAGATAAGAGAAATTCACACTTTTCAAATAGATTGACTCCTTCCTGAGTTGCCCCTGCCGAGGGAGGTCCAACTCGTCAGAGATAATGCTCCTTTGTGCCACTTTCGGAAGGTTATATGGAGTCAGTTGAGTGTTAAAACTTTTTTATCAGTGTACCTCCCAACAGATGATCAACAGGATGATTAAATCACAAGTTTGGAAGTTGTCGTAGGAGCTTGGTGGGAATGAAAATTTTTCAATGTGATCTAAGTCCTTCCAAAGGAAAAATGCCTCTTCTGAGTGGTTGCTACAAAGAGTTATTCATCCTGCCATAGAGTTCTTTCCCAAGTTGAATCCTCCTTGTTTGTTTACAAGATACATCTAGTAGAGTATGAGTGGAAGAGGCAAGTTACGAAACTAGTGGCTCGAGAATTACTTTGAGAGAATCTACAATTAAATGCAGCTAAAACTCAAGTTGTGCCAAAAGAAAATAAATATTTATTTTATCAAGATGTGCTTTGGAATGATAAAGCCGATAGGAGTGACTTAGCGGTAAGTTACATAGCTCCACCACTTTCAACATGACCAACTTGACTACTATGAGGAGATAGAATCTTCGACAGAAAATTAAAATTTCTCCAACCCCGATAGACTGACATAAGAGCTATCAGGACCCCCCTCCGGCAACTTTAGCTACAATACCAAGGGTGCCAGTTCCCGCGAATGATGCAGAGCCAAATCAAGCGGCTCGTTTTCAATTCATTTCCAATTTTTAGCGAGTTGACATTTGTTTTTTCCCCTTCGAGGGTTGTATCTAGGGGTTTGGGTGGTGCTCCAATTGTATCTCTTTCCCGAGGTGGTTATTATCTTCCCTATCATTTTTCTCATCTTCACTCATGGCGCTCCCGACCATCCTTTTTCGTTGCAGCCACTTCGAGCAACACTCTTTTGCTATTATGCACTGCAGTCTTCCCATTCCAACCCTTCTTGTTCGTTGTCACCTCATCAGGCAACCACCCTTTACTATCCTGTAGTCTCCTGCTTTGGCCATTCGCTGCCGTCATCTAGAAAACATTGAACCTGCTGTTTTCTTGCTGTTTTGGCCTGTCCCACCCCTCCTCGCTGCTTAGTTTGCCACCCCACTTGCTGCCCTCATTGTCCAAGCCCTTCACTTTGCTGCTAACACAATTCTTGTCCCTTCTTTTGCTATCCCTACCACCTACGAGCTTTTTCAACTTCCTACCTCCGCTCCTCAACCACTTAGCCGACCTCCACCACCTATGGATCAAACCCTAGTGTAAGTATGATTCGTGTTTGTTGTAATTTCTCGTTCAAATGTGTTTGATTGTAACCACATATTTGCTTTTCCTATTGTTGTTTTGGTTAACTACAATATCATTTAGTATCAGAACTAGCTTGTTCCTAGTTTTATTATAAAGTTTTGAGCATCCTTTGAACCCAAATCTATCTCCATCTATAATTTCCCTCTCTCCTTACATCACCCTTACAGACCTTCCACTTACTCACACTCAAAACTTAGCCATGCCACCAACGAGATAATCGCCTGAAGCTTGATTGAGGGGAAAGGACACGATGCTGTTTATGTTTACAAAGAAGTGTCCGGGGAATTTCTAGGGAGGATTGTAGTGGGAAATTTGCCAACTATAACAGAGGCTTCCCACCTTAGAGAGGAGGCAGTCTAGATGGGTCATCCATAGCCACAATGATGTATTAGATTGAAGGAATTGAGTGAATTTCCTCCACCATACAGATTCTAAGGTCTTACGCCTACCTTGAAGATATAACTTAAAATATTTTAGAAGTCAGAATTTTGAAGTAAATTTTGATTTGTCATATTTTGATGGCCACATGGATCCAGATGTGTTCATCGGGTCACTTTGGGCCTTGGAATGTGCCTTTGAGTGTCAGGATGTTCCACCAAATTGAATGGTGAAACCAACCACTAGCAAATTAAAGAAGAGTGCATTATTTTGTGGTAAAATCTGAAGTAACTACGTCAATATGAGGGAAAAGACAAGATCACTTCCTGGTCCGAGTTGAAATGAGAGATGCAACGCCATTACATACTAATTCACTATAGATCGGATGTTGAGACTAACTTCAAAAATGGAGAGACCGCATCATTAGACGACCATCACATCTCATAGACAAAGTTCAGCTCTAGAATCTATTTGCCAGAGTAAGCCCAAATGAGCACCCAAGATGACTGATTTAAAGTAGAGTATAGGTGGAGCGAACCGGTTTTTCTAAATCTGTCATTGCTAGAAAGTGTTTCAAGTACTATCTATGGATTTAGGCGTATTGAAGCAGATTACACAACCAAGAGAATAAGATAATTCACTGAGCAGGGAGCTGTTGAGGAAGGGTAGTACACAGTAGACATTGAAGAAGGTGATGATTAAAAGGGGGCCATTTCCCAATTGATAAGGGAGAAAAGCTTCAAGTTGAGGCCATGAAGGAAAGTCAAATAGAATTTACATTGGTAGTCCAAGACGGTCATAAGGCCTAGGAACCAATATTAGACACTCAACAACCCTAGATAAGAGAAATTCACACGTTTCAAATGGATAGACTCTTTTTTGAGTTGCACCTGTTGAGGAGGTCCAACATGCGATGCTCTTTTTTGCCACTTCTAGAAGACTATCGTTTTCGTGTTAAAATTTATTTAACTATGTACCTCTAGACAGATGATCAGGAGCGATGCATGAACTACAAATTTGGAAGTTGTCGTAGGAGTTTGGTGGGGAAAAAAATTCTTCAATGGGATTCAAGCACTGCTAGAGAAAAAGGGGCCTTTCCTGAGTGGTTGTTAGTGAGAGTTGCTCACCTTACCATAGAGTTCGTCCTAAAGTTGAGTCCTCCTTACATATTTGTTTATCACATCCAGTTGAGTACAAGGAGTGGGAGAAACAAATTAATGAACTAGTTGCTTGAGAATTACTTTGGGAGAATCTGCAATTATATGCAGCTACAACTTAGGGTTATCGGAAGTTGAATATTCATTCTATCAGGATGTGCTTTTGAATGATAATGCCGACAGGAGTGGCTTATCGGAAGTTACATAGCTCCACCACTTTCATTATGACCGACCTGAGTACTATGAGGATTCAGAAGCATCGATAGATGAGGTCAAAGCTCCCCAACCTCGAGAGACGGACATGAGAACTATTGGAACCCCCCATTCTATGAGTTATGTTGAAGTATTGTTGGCGCCGGTTCACGTGAATGACACAGAGTTGAACTGGGCGGTTTGTTTTAGATTCATTTCCAATTTTTAGTGAGTTTTTTCATTTCTTTTCATTCTTTTCTAGTCCTTTCCTATATATGTGTTGCATCAAGGTTTAGAGGAGAGTTTTACAAGTTTTTTGTTTAGGACAATCACCAACGTCTGTTTCTCCCTTCAACGGCTATATTCAAGGGATTGAGTGGTGCTCCAACTATATTTCTCTCCCGAGATGGTGTTTATCTTTCTTATCTCCTTCCACATCTCTTCCCATGACGCTCTCGACCATGCTCTATCGCCGCAGCACAAACTCTTATTTGCTATTTTTCACCGCAGTCTTCCTATTCCAGCTCTTCTTACTCGCTGTCACTGCCCGGGACAGCCGCCCTTTGCTGTCTTGTAGTCCCCCGCTTCACCGCTTTGCTGCCGTTATCTAAAAAAGCAACATACCTGGTGTTTTCTTGCTGTCCCCTGGCCATTCTAGCCTGACCCGCCACGCCTCGCTTGCCACCCACTTGCTGCCCTCTCTATCCCAGCCCTCCGATTCACTGCCAACGCAATTCCAGCCTCTCTTTTTGCTGTCCCAACTACATACAAGCCTTTTTAGTCACTCATGGATCAAGCTATAGTGTGAGTTTGTGTAAAGATGGACCTAAAAGTGACCAATGGTTCTTAAATATTATTTAATATATAATTGTAAGATATTTGAAGCTATGAGCATCCTTTAGTTAAGAGTAATTGAGACTATCAGATTAAATCTTACTTAAGAGTACATTACTCTATGCGCTAATTTCCATAGTGAGTCTTCTTACTTTGTCTAGTTATCTTGTGGCTTCTTCATATACCTTATTCGTCCGCTTTTTGTCTTTTTTTCTGTTAGAGTAATTTCTACCTTAGTTTCTTGTTCTTGTAGTCAAGTTAAATTTTTTTAGTGATCTTGTTGCTATTATGGCTTTAGTATGAAGTTGGTTATTCTTAGATATAAATGGTTCCATGTATATTAAGAAGATCAAACTTTTCTATCAACTGCAAATTCTGCAATGGTTCCATTGATGTTAAGCACATCAACCGTTCCTCTCAACTGCAAATTCTTCATCTCATTAAGTATTTTGGGTAAAGCTTTTCATTTTACCTTTTCTGAAAGACTTGCTCGTTTATGATTAGTTGCTCAGAATATTCACTAAAATTGAACTAGTTTTTCCCTCCATTGATTGCTCAAAATCCTTCTTTTTTGCTTCAAAATTTTCCTAAAAACTGAAGGTTACTAAACATCCTTTGTTATGAAAGTGGCTTCTGTATTCAGAGGATTGCCCTACTATTATTTTCTAAGCAAACCTTATTTGAAAACTATTTCTTCTTGCCATTAAACAAAAAACTTACATAGTAATTTCTCACTTTCCATGAAAGTTCAACACTCTAATGGAAACTTTTTCCCTAGGGCATGAGACACAAAAATGTATCGTTAGTTGATTAACTATGGTATTCTTGATAAGACAGGCTTCATTTAATATGTCATTAATGCAGGTTACATTGGTTCTGTTTCTTTTCTAAAGACAGTGTTGGGAGTTGTGGAAAAACTTCGTTTGATAAATCCTGAACTTCTATATGGTAAGTGGTTTTTATATTCATCAACATTTATTCCTTGAAAAATAATCATATCCGCTTCATGATTTCTTGAATTCTTCTGATTCCAACGTTTATGAAAGGCTGGAAAGTACATATGGTGTAAAATATGTCGCTGCCACCTTATGCTTACACACATGCTTTGTGAATATTAGTCACCATAGTGGACACCAGGAAGTGTGAGATTCTGTCCAGCTGATGGTGTTAGGTTAATAAAGCTGCTGCTAGTATTCAAGTTTTTTTTAAGAATAATTATGCTTTAATATGAAATGGTTCTGATTCAGATCTAGGTTTTATGTTTATTGTACTTGTGTGCTTTTCATTTGAATGGTCATAGATGCAAATATTTATTAGAATATAGAATCAGTATCATATCCCTCTTGTTACGAACGGAATCATGTATGAATTGAATATTTTGCAAATAATGCGCCAAACAAATGCAAATGCATAACGAATTGAAAAAATGCTTTTTTACTATTAAAGCAATATGAAACAATCAGTACTTTGATGAGAAGATTTTTATCATGGGGGTGGGCTGCACTGCTTATTATGAAGTTTGTCAAATTGCTTTGCAGCTACGTGAGATTCCGTTTCTGCAAGGGAGAAACATTCCTATTTAACAATTATCCCCCTAATGTTGTTTGGTGATGCTATTGGTCACCTAGTATTCCTGAATTAATTATTAGGCTAATGGATTCCCTGAAATCATAATAGTATTTAAGTGGATCTTATTTAGGGCAATGTATCGGCTGACTCTTCTATAGCTATTTATAGGGATATGAATGTAGATGTTAATAGTTGTAGCTGTCATCATTGTTTTATCACGATTAGCTTTAGCCCAAATATTTGAGTTTGGCTTTATAATTTGATCGATTTGGTCTTTACAAAAGTTGATACAGGAAATGGACTGCAGATATATGGACTCGTATCAATTTGGCCTGCCTGAAAGAAACAAGGGCTTCTGTATAGCAACTCAAATTAATTAATCCAAAGGGAATTCTACCATGATATGCTACATGGAAGATCAATAGAGGAGCTTGATCAAATTCCATCAACGAGAAAATTAGACCCTGTGAGGCTATAAAATCTGATTCTAGAAGCTAGCAATGGTTCTTGAGATCTCTACTTGTTTTAATGTACACCTCAGAGTGGCTTTAAATGCTAAGTTATTGCAATGCTTGATAAATTATATCGACATTGAAGGCAGTTTTATCGTGGATAACAAAAGTACAGTTTGCAAAGAAGCTGCGGAAGGATCTAGTGGAAGGTTTTTGAAAGAAAATAATAGTTTTTCTCCTCTAATTTTGACCCGTGCATCACTCTTTGTTTGCAAGATGTACAGGGAACTGCTTGAATTTGACCTACTTTTATTTCTAGAATGGATGAAGAAGCTGAAAAAAGAGTGGTGGTAATGATGGTAATTGATGAAATTTCGAAGTTCCGTTAAATATGCAAACTAGCTCATCTTTGATGAAAAAACATTGGAAATAAGCATTGAGAGTTGAGATGGTACAATGAACGTAGTGAATGGTAAACTGCACCGTGCCTGTTAGAGAATGATGTTCAGAAAGCACTCTTCACCATATGTACTAAATATATAATATACAACTGAAGCAAGATGCTGTAACTGTTGCTTTAGATTCCAAAGGAATGTCATCACAGTGAGGAACCTAAGTTTAGGATGTCATCATTGATCATTTGAATCCTTTGGGATGGATTAATGTGTCCATGAAATCAGACACAAGTGGAGGTGAATTGGGGGAATAAATTTTTTTGTAGAAATGCCTAACAAACTGATAAATTGAATTAGTTCCATCACACAGATAGTGTGAAGTCCTACAAAAATTGTGTGAGTGAGATTGCAAAATATGAGATTAAAAATGCAAACTATTAATAGAGATGCATACATGTATAATGGCTGAGTTGCTTATTGGCCTTCATATGTGCTTAGTATTGCAATTCGATCAAGCACAATGAAAATGGTGGACAACAAATACAAACTTGTATAAATGGGTTTTGGATCCCCCCGACCATGATCAAAATAATCTAATTGTCACACGATTCATTGAATGAACTCTATTGATGTATCTAGATAATTGAAAATGGCAAGAAAACGACCTCTTGCATTGCCAAATAGCTACTCAACGAACACGATGGACTACATATGTGATGTTGTGCCCCCGCCTTATGTTTCATGAAATGGACTGTCATTATGCGTGCGTTTGGAATGTTGAAACTCTTTAGGTCGGACACTCATATTGCCTATCCATCACACGAAAGCAGCAACAACAACAATAACAACAACAACAAAGCCTTAATCCCACTACGTGGGGTCAGCTCATGAATCCTTTTTCTCCATTGCGTCCTATTTAGTGTCATATTTTCATTTAGTTCTAGTAAATTACATTTTTAATACAATAAGCCCAAGTTTTCCTAGGTCTACCTCTGCCTTTCTTAACACTAGTCGAATTTGAAACATCTACTCTCCTAATCGGATCATCTAATGGTCGACGTTTAATATGACCAAACCATCTAAGACGACTTTCTCTAATTTTGTCTGTCACAAGAGCTACACCAACCCTATCACGAATATATTCATTCCGCATTTTGTCTCTAAGAGTAAAGCCACTCATCCACCTAATCATTCTCATCCCGGCAACACTTAACTTATTATTATGCTTCGCTTTTAAAGGCCAACCTTCAGCGCCATAGAGCATTGCAGGTCTCACCACCATCTTATAAAATTTTCCTTTCAGTCTTAGCGGTACTTTTCTATCACACAAAAGGCCCGAAGCATTCCTCCACTTCAACCAACCAACTTGAATTCTACT